CCAAAATGTGTTTGGAAACAAAAGTTTGGCTAAAAACTATCAAATTTGGACCCTCCGATTCCTTCCTTTTCCAATCTTTAAGACTATAGCTCTATCCACGGAGCTATTCGGAGGGTTAATCAAAAATCTCTCTAGCAACCGAGCACGTTATGCTAGCACGCTCCTAACACAAACTTTTTTATAGCCCTAACTCTAAAAACTCAAAAACTCGATCCTCAAAACCTATTGACGAAATTCGGAAAATTACAAAAATTTTGATCGAAAAAAAATTTCGTTTTCGCCAACTTCTACTAAGTCTTTTTCTGCACGGTTTCTTTAGTTAGGGGGATTGAATTACGTGGTAGTTCACTGTACTAAAGCTTTTTGCTGTTCGGAAAAGCTCGGATATCTAAAATTTTGGGGTTTGACAGTTTGCTCGAAAATCAGTAATTTTCGACAAAATTGGGGTGTTTCTCGGGTCTAAATAGGAGATAAGTAAAATATAATAAGGATAATAATCTATTAGTAGTCGTTAATCGATATTATTATACCCTCTTTTGCACCAAAATACCCGAACTAAGACCCTTAACTCGGAAATTAGCAATCGATGGAGGGTGCAATCGGACCGCGCCAATTGTGCACCCCACCATTAAGTTTTAATGAAATAGTACCCAAACGATACTAAAATTGTGTCAATGATACCAAAAAGTCAGTGTGGATGTTGTCCTTGATTTCCCTGTTGAGTCTGGAACACGTCGGTCAGCTTGCCTCTCTACCCTCCGGTCACCGGCAAAATCACCATTAACGTGCTTAAATACTCAAACAACACTCAAAGGAGGGTCCATAACCCGCCACTAAAACACTCAATATCTCTATCAGAAATGATATAAGTCAATCTGAGACAACAAAAAATAGGATAGTCAGATCGCATCTCGTCCGGAAATAACATATAAACTGTCACTTTATGTTTTTTGTTGTTTTTGGTCTTTTTTGGATTTTTTATTGTTTTTTGTACTTTTTTTCAGATAAATTTGTTTTTGGCTTTTTTTTTGGTTATACACTACTTTTGTTTGGTTTTACCCTTTCTCTTTAATTGTTTTTGGTCCCGGGACCTTGGGATCAGCGGGCTCATGACTTCCCACCTAACCCTCCAGCCCCGGAAATTTCGGTCTGAACTAAGTTAAAAAGATAAGTAGTACTGGGCGGAGGGTCGGCACCTTCCCCCTAGTACAACAAAGGTCATTAAAGCCTCCTACTCGGGCACACGCCCGAAGCGGAAGGTTCGTCGCTGAAACGTTTGCTGATCATGATGGTCTTATGCCTTCAACAGGTCCACCCAGGAGCGCCAGAAAAACGTCTATGTAACTTTCGCCCAAATACTACACAGTGACAGAGCGAAGAAAAAAAACCTTTCAACAACTGGCCGGCGTCAGTCAACTAGATTCTACTAGTTTTTCACCGTCTCGACTTTGCCAGTTGATTTTCTGGTCTGTCTAGGGCTAAGTAAAAAGTTACTATTTTCAGGCCATCAGTCAAATGACTTTTAATCAGCTTTCGTTTACATGCGAACACAACCACATGGCTGGGTCTCGGATCCTCAGACTACGTGATTGCTATTAAAAACACGGCTCGAACATCCTATTTTACGGTTTTTGGTGACAGTTCTATATTAAGTCTATTGGAACTGGATTGATCCTTTCCTCTTTCTAGCTACTCTAAAATATCATTCAAAGGCTTATGGCATCAGAGTAGCTAAAAAGTCAGTTCTTTATAGTCCTTCACCATATTTTGTCTCTGGGGGGCCGAGCCTCCGCTTCCGTGGTTCCACTGTAATAACATCGTTATTACTACCAATTCGTGGCACGGGAGGGTACTGCTTTTTTACTCCTTCCCCACTGAAGCCTCCTTTCCGTCTGTTGTCTCTGGTTAGCTGTCTTATCGTGCGTGATCGTCACGATAAGAGGCTTCGTTTTTTCTTTCGTTCCCGTTCGACTCTTTTTTCACTATTTCAGCTGTTGTTTTTTTTCTGTTTTTTTTTCGGTTCAAAATGGCCGTTTTTGCATTTCTCAGAAATATGACGTCACCATTCGTATTTATTGAATATTTAAAATCCCAGAATATTCTGACCCTCCTTTTCATTAGTATTGATCGTCAAGGCCTCTAATTCTACTTTCGTGTTGTGCCGGAAGGTTACGCTGTGCCAATCTGGCAGAATGGCACAGATTTTGACTGGAATACGTGATGAAGGGACTCCTGACTGTAACCCCGGTTACTATGGTGAATTCCCATAGGTTCCAATATTCATAGGTTCCAAAATAAAAAATTAGTCGCATAAGTTCCTAAATTTATCTTCTTGAATTCTTATTAGTTGAAATTTGAGCCGTCGAATTTATGGAGTGATTGTTTACTGTTCAACCAGCATAAACTCAAGCTGCAGAATAGTGACCGCCGCAGACGCGCCAACGTGTTGCGAGCTTGCCACCAAAGAGTAGGGCTCTATACAAAATTTAGAGCCGGTTATCGCCGCGAAATGGCGACGCGCGCGTAGCGCGCCCACCGGCGACCTTAAACCGAGAGTGGTAAAAACGGCAGATCAATGTAAAATAAATTCCAGAAACGTTTTCGACAAAAGTTATCATCAGCTAATCTAAAAAACAAAGCACGTGTAAAACCGGAATGGAAATGGATGTGTAGAAATTACAAAAAATATATAAAAACTAACATTAAAAAGAATTCAAAAATAGCATCAATTAAGAACCGAGTTAGTCATGTGACTAAAACAAACGGACTTAAACCGAGACTCTTAATTTGGTATTTTGACCAATTGAAAAAATTTGGAACTTATGCGACCTCTATTTTATTTTGGAACCTATGGGACTGATTTTTCATTTTGGAATCTATGAATACGCACCGTTACTATGATACTTTTGACCTTCTGATTACCATTTTAATGGCACATCTAGTAACTTGGTGATCATGATAATTTCTGGAGAAAAAACAGACTGAACTCGAAATTTTTAGGGCCGGATGTTCAAATCGGCTTTGGGATATTTTGCTGGAGCCAATGCACAATTTGGATCAACTGCCAGTGGAACCAACGATCTAGTGGGCAGTACCTTAGAATTGGGAAATGCTAATCTTAGAGTGAAGAGAGTAATTGCAGAGGGAGGTTTCGCTGTTGTTTTTGAAGCAGCTACTAAGTTAAAAAGATAAGTAGTACTGGGCGGAGGGTCGGCACCTTCCCCCTAGTACAACAAAGGTCATTAAAGCCTCCTACTCGGGCACACGCCCGAAGCGGAAGGTTCGTCGCTGAAACGTTTGCTGATCATGATGGTCTTATGCCTTCAACAGGTCAACCCAGGAGCGCCAGAAAAACGTCTATGTAACTTTCGCCCAAATACTACACAGTGACAGAGCGAAGAAAAAAAACCTTTCAACAACTGGCCGGCGTCAGTCAACTAGATTCTACTAGTTTTTCACCGTCTCGACTTTGCCAGTTGATTTTCTGGTCTGTCTAGGGCTAAGTAAAAAGTTACTATTTTCAGGCCATCCGTCAAATGACTTTTAATCAGCTTTCGTTTACATGCGAACACAACCACATGGCTGGGTCTCGGATCCTCAGACTACGTGATTGCTATTAAAAACACGGCTCGAACATCCTATTTTACGGTTTTTGGTTACAGTTCTATATTAAGTCTATTGGAACTGGATTGATCCTTTCCTCTTTCTAGCTACTCTAAAATATCATTCAAAGGCTTATGGCATCAGAGTAGCTAAAAAGTCAGTTCTTTATAGTCCTTCACCATATTTTTTCTCTGGGGGGCCGAGCCTCCGCTTCCGTGGTTCCACTGTAATAACATCGTTATTACTACCAATTCGTGGCACGGGAGGGTACTGCTTTTTTACTCCTTCCCCACTGAAGCCTCCTTTCCGTCTGTTGTCTCTGGTTAGCTGTCTTATCGTGCGTGATCGTCACGATAAGAGGCTTCGTTTTTTCTTTCGTTCCCGTTCGACTCTTTTTTCACTATTTCAGCTGTTGTTTTTTTTTCTGTTTTTTTTTCGGTTCAAAATGGCCGTTTTTGCATTTCTCAGAAATATGACGTCACCATTCGTATTTATTGAATATTTAAAATCCCAGAATATTCTGACCCTCCTTTTCATTAGTATTGATCGTCAAGGCCTCTAATTCTACTTTCGTGTTGTGCCGGAAGGTTACGCTGTGCCAATCTGGCAGAATGGCACAGATTTTGACTGGAATACGTGATGAAGGGACTCCTGACTGTAACCCCGGTTACTATGGTGAATTCCCATAGGTTCCAATATTCATAGGTTCCAAAATAAAAAATTAGTCGCATAAGTTCCTAAATTTATCTTCTTGAATTCTTATTGGTTGAAATTTGAGCCGTCGAATTTATGGAGTGATTGTTTACTGTTCAACCAGCATAAACTCAAGCTGCAGAATAGTGACCGCCGCAGACGCGCCAACGTGTTGCGAGCTTGCCACCAAAGGGTAGGGCTCTATACAAAATTTAGAGCCGGTTATCGCCGCGAAATGGCGACGCGCGCGTAGCGCGCCCACCGGCGACCTTAAACCGAGAGTGGTAAAAACGGCAGATCAATGTAAAATAAATTCCAGAAACGTTTTCGACAAAAGTTATCATCAGCTAATCTAAAAAACAAAGCACGTGTAAAACCGGAATGGAAATGGATGTGTAGAAATTACAAAAAATATATAAAAACTAACATTAAAAAGAATTCAAAAATAGCATCAATTAAGAACCGAGTTAGTCATGTGACTAAAACAAACGGACTTAAACCGAGACTCTTAATTTGGTATTTTGACCAATTGAAAAAATTTGGAATTTATGCGACCTCTATTTTATTTTGGAACCTATGGGACTGATTTTTCATTTTGGAATCTATGAATACGCACCGTTACTATGATACTTTTGACCTTCTGATTACCATTTTAATGGCACATCTAGTAACTTGGTGATCATGATAATTTCTGGAGAAAAAACAGACTGAACTCGAAATTTTTAGGGCCGGATGTTCAAATCGGCTTTGGGATATTTTGCTGGAGCCAATGCACAATTTGGATCAACTGCCAGTGGAACCAACGATCTAGTGGGCAGTACCTTAGAATTGGGAAATGCTAATCTTAGAGTGAAGAGAGTAATTGCAGAGGGAGGTTTCGCTGTTGTTTTTGAAGCAGCTGATATTTCGACTAATAAAAGCTGCGCTGTGAAAAGATTACTGGCGCATGATGTCGAAAAGAAAAAAGAGATTGAACAAGAAATTAAGTTTTTGAAACTTCTTTCGGGTCATCCAAACATTATTCGGTTTATCACTGCCGCATCTAGCCAAAACAATGTATCAGGAAGCACTGAATACCTAGTGGTGATGGAATATTGCCCAAGAGGTAGACTCACTGATTTATTGGCAGCCAAGACAAAACTGTCTCGGGAAGAAGTGATATGTTATTTTTACCAAATAGCCCGAGCAGTTCAACACATGCATTCCCAATCTCCACCGATCATTCATAGAGATCTTAAGCTGGAAAATGTTCTAATCAATGGTAGAGGAATGTTAAAGTTGTGTGATTTCGGTAGTGCAACAACTCAGGTTCATCATCCAGATTACTCATGGTCAGCCCTTAAACGGTCCCAAGTTGAAGATGAAATTACAAGCCACACCACACCCATGTATCGAACGCCAGAAATGCTGGATCTGTATCAAAATTTCCCAATCGACCAGCAACAGGATATTTGGGCATTAGGCTGTACGCTGTACCTTTTGTCTTATGGAACACACCCGTTCGAAGATTCCGCAAAGTTGAGAATTTTAAACGCAAATTACACCTTAGAGAATCGAGACACACAGTACGAGGTTTTACATGACTTAATTAGAGGATGCTTAATGGTCGATCCACGTCATAGGCCTAGTGTGAACGACACTGTGCATCGAATTGAAGAAATTGCCGAGGCTCTACAAATAAACTTAGCCTCACTTCTGAAAAAGAGTGCCACGAATTCTCCCGTCCATGAAATGAGTAGCCCGCCTGCTACCGCGCAAAGTCCAAGTAATTCACTTCCTACGCAGCGCGAGCAAGTTCCTTCTAAATCCAAAACAGAAGTCAGCCCGCATCACCATAATCAGGCGAACAACAGTGTGCAAGAATCTTCTGGTGCTATGTTTAACTCGTTCAAAAGCGGAGCTTCAAGTTTCCTGACAAACATGAAAGAAGCATCAAATAAAATGGCAGAAACGATGGCGAATTATGCAAAAGGAGATCTAGATATCAGTTACATCACTTCTAGAATTCTGGTTATGTCATATCCTGGAGAAGGCATACAAGCCGCTGTTCGGAATAACATCGATGCCGTTAGAGCCTTTCTAGACAGTAAACATCACAAAAAGTACGCAGTTTACAATTTGACTTTGTCCCCGTATCGTCACTACAAGTTTGACAACCGAGTTTCAGATTGTGGCTGGCCAGCGAAAAAGAGTCCAAACTTGACGAATCTTCTAATGATTTGTAAAAATATGTCTCAGTGGCTTAAAATTGATTCCTCTCACGTTGCAGTGATTCACTGCGTTGACGGCAAAGCGCAATCTGCTCTAGTTTTGGCAGCTTTCTTTGCTTACTGCAATATGTACCAGAATTTAGGCCCCAGTCTTCATTTGTTTACGTTAAAAAGAACAGGTCCCGGAATAATTCCATCTCACCGAAGATACATTGAATATGTAGCTGACATATGCAATGCTTCCGAAAACCAACCGAGAACCATTCCTCACCACAAGATTGTAAGGTTTAATAATTTGGTTCTAAAACCAGTGCCATTAATTAATAGTCAGAAAACAGGATGTAAACCTTTTTGCGAAGTTTATCAAAGTGAGAGCAGAGTTTTCACTACTTCACAGGAGTATGACGCAATACCTGGGTTTGACAACAGGGACGACTGTGTTATGATTCCACTGGAAATTGATCTTATGGGAGATTTGACATTTATAGTGTACCACGCGCGATCGATTCTTGGTGGAAAAGTACAAGCAAAAAACATCTCGCTGAAAATGTTCCAATTTCAGTTCAATTCTGGATTTCTACCTGAAGATAGCTGCTGTGTTAAGTTTGGCAGGTTTGAGATAGACTACATGGAGAGTCCAGACCGATATCCAGACATGTTTGCTGCTTCTTTAAACTACGAAGTAACGTCGAAGGAAGATTTGACGTCTCAGAAAAAGAGCTTTAATTATGATGTCCTCAAGAGCAAGGAGTTGACTCCCTACTTAGTTGTAAAAGATGACACAGAGCTGAATCTTTTGTATCAAACTGTTGGTCCACCTGAAGCAAGGACTCACAAAGCCCACGATGATGACTGTTTCGAATATAAAAATTGGGGTCATGATAAAACAAACTCATCTGCAACGACTAATGGAAGTTTTCCGTTCAACAATTCAGCCACGGAGTCAATGCAAATGTCTTCGGATAACGCACTCAACGCAACCAGTTCTAGCAACGAAGACAACGTCCTGTTGATATCGTCCGGAACGGATGCTTCATCGGCATCTCGTGCGTCGCCTCAGCCCGACTACGAAAATGTTGCCGTGGACGTTCCGAGTCTCCTTGACTTTGGCGAGAATAGTGGGGACACGCCTCAGAAACAATCAGATCCTTTTGGAGACATGGGAGGACGTTTCGATCCTTTCAAATCAAGTGGAACAGAAGGTGGAGTCGATACTAATTTCAATCTATTCGCTGATGATCCTTTTGGTTCTAGCGCTGTTGCTCAAGGTCAAACAAGCCAACCGGATCCCTCGTCAGATCTCTTCGGAGCCGACCCTCTAGTAGCTCAGTTTGATAGCTTAGGAGTCGGAACTACGAATTTCAATGGAAGTGAAAGTCACAAAATGGAAAGCCCCAATCTTATGGGCGATTGGTCAGATGTGATAAACACTAGTTCTCAGCCTGGGTCAATTAACACACAATTTTCAAGTCAATATCCTTCGGCGAGCCTCTCACAGCCAATGTTTAACAGGTCTACTTCGTCCAATCTGAAACCAGCTGCAAATTCTAATGCTGTGCCGAGCCAGAATTCAAAAATGACTACTAAGGGAGCGCCGTTGGACCCTTTTGGATCATTGGATCCATTTGGGGTATCAAAAGCTCCGAATGATTCTCTCAAAGTGAATGGAAAAGCTGGCCAGCAGCAAACAGGTTTTGGATCGAGTGGTTCAAGATCCAGATCCGTTAGTCCAAATCCAACTTCCAGGACTCAAACTCAGTCGTCTGGTAACCAGCAATCCACCACAGCTCATCAACAGAACAAACCAAATTACAACTTAAACATTCCCGGAAGTGGTAGTGGCGCAAAATCTAATCCCAGCTCTGTCCCTAAAACTGGAGCTTCGCCTAAAGTAAACCGCAAAAATGATTTCTCGGACCTTCTTGGGGGTTTTAATGTTTCGGGCGCTGCAAGCTCAGAAGGACCAAAGACATTAAAAGATCTGAAGAACCAGCTTCTCGCCGAGACCCTGGATCCCGATGAAATGAAGATCCGAGACTGGATTGACGGTAAAGAAGGAAATATCAGAGGACTGTTGTGCAGTTTGCATAAAGTGGTCTGGGACGAGTCGCCATGGAAAGAATGCGGAATGCATCAGTTAGTCAGTGCCAGTGACGTTAAGAAAATGTGGCGTAAAGCGCTTCTGGCTACACATCCAGATAAACAAGTGGGAACAGCGAATGAAAAATTAGCCAAGATGATCATGATTGAATTGAATGATGCTTGGGATAAATATCAAAATAGTGGGGCGCAATCTTTGTATGGTAACTGAGCATGCTGGTTTTAAAACGCGCTTAAGTTTTACAAATTGTCAATATTATCGAAATTGTTGGTCCTAATTTGAAACGCTGAAGTGGTATTGGGAAAATAAAGGTAACATTTTTATTGCAGTTGTCGTAGTCTTTTACTCAGTTTTTGACTCAAATTAGTTTTGAAGTGATTTAAGCACCATAAGAAAATCGTGTATTGCACTTAAACAAATACTTAATTCAGTGCTTTAAAATTTTCAAATCAATCATTGTAAACAGTAGAACTTGTGTATTCAAATTTTTGAATAAAGTAAGATCAAGCTCAAACATTTTTTTGAACCATGTATTCAAAATAATTTTGCTGTATATTGGCACTTGAGTGAGAGTAATCAGCAGCTAATAGTCCGCCTACTTTATGAATAGCAGTTAATTATAAAATAAATACAAGCCGATATATCGTTTGAATGAATTATTTTATCGCAATGTTCGCATCCTCGCTATTGTACAAATATGGCAAATATAAAGTGTAGAATAGATCTTGTTCAATTTATTCGATTAATTATAACTTTTGATCAGATTTTTTCCAGAACAGTATGCTCGGTGGTTAAATGGCTTATCGGAATAAGGTTAATTACAAGCGAAGCGCATTCTTTACTAGGAAATCTTTTTTTTCCTGATCTTTGATCTGCATGAAATTATTACAATTTTGTGCTAGTATTTTTCCCCGGTAGAAACTTTGAAACAACTTGCTCTTTGTTTATTTACTAGTTGTCGTCACAAATAATATCGGCTTTGTGTCTGGACTATTCGTTTCTTTGAATGTGTAATTACCCTTGTGATAACTGTGATAAGCAAAGGTATTACAATCGGATACTAGACTTTTTTCCCATAACAATTTTTTCCACAGGATCTTCACTTCTAGAGGATCTTTCAAAATTAAATAAAATTGCTATCACTAAAGTAGTAATTAGTTTAAGCCCGTTTCACGTTGTAGGTTGTAATCGTCTTTTCAAAATTTTTTTTTTGGGGGTTTCGTGGTTTTCGTACTAATTTGTGTCGGTTCATTTTCCGTTTTTTAACGCCATTTTTTAAACAATTTAAACAGTTTTTACTATAACTGAAACTTCGCAAATTTGTAAATTTACCATGTCTGATTTTGAATTTTGTTTTCATTTTTAAAAAATTTTTAAACTGTTTCAGTTTATGTTATATCGACATAGTCATTTTTTTATTCACTATTTGGTAGCGCAATGTGGTAGCGCTTCGCCTCTGTGTCTAAACTGAATCGGAAGCTATAGGTGACCAGCATGCTCGATCAAGTCATAACAAACTTTTTTTTGGTTATCAAATTTCATGGGTTTTTTTTTCAAATTTCATAATTTAAGCGTTTTTCCACGAGTCGCTTGTATTATATAACGTTCAATTTGCTTAAACCTAAGTTGCAAACTTTTTTCATATACTCATGGTCAGTTTTATTGTAGTGTATTCGTAGACTCAAGTGCTAAATAGAATTGATGCTGAAGATAATAATACAGAATCTGAAAGATTTGACATCCTGAGCTCGAAATTGATAAATATTTCATCTGTAGCTCTCGCAAAGTTATATGGAGCTGAAAAAAATTGCCAGCTTGACAAATTTGGGTCAAATAATTATTTGGGTCAAACAATTATTTGGGTCAAATAATTTCGGTCAAATAATGATGGTCAAATTTTCCGTTTATCAAAGAGCAACGGTGTTTCTTTTCTAATTGGGCTATTTTCCCGTTATGTCAAGTTTTGGAAAATAGAGCACTAGAAGTGGTGTTTTTCCCAATGGGTTTGTCGTTTCATGGTAGCTTTCAATGTATTGTGTTGAGTGTTGTGAGAGCAAGTGTCTTATAATCGGGAACTATACTTTTTTCCCGTAAGCTTTTACCCATTCTTCTCTTTTTTTTTCACTTTTCGTCGTATCTTCTCATAACATCTCTCAGGTGCCTTACCACTTGGCCTAGAGGTAACGACCTTGCCTGCGCACCTTCATGTCTGATGTCTGAGTTTCGGCCCAACGGCGCATTTGTCAGTTTTTAATAACGCGTAGCGTCTTCAGTTAATCCGGCTCAATAATTCTACCAAATTGAATTGAAGCTAGCTGATTGGTCGTATTAATGCTACACTAAATGAGAAACATATCATTTCTAACTAATCGTAGCGTGCTTTACTTTCTATTTTTTTAAACCAACTGTTCAACTATCCCTTTAACTTGATTTTTGTTTGCGAAGAGGACATGCGCCGTTGTTTATCTATGTTACGAGGAATGGCATTGGATTCTTGAAGCAACTAGTTTTGGCTGCCTTGAAGTTTTTCTGATTTTTACAACTTTGTAGTTTTTGTAAGCTTCGTTGGTTGTCCACGTTCTCCAATTATTTTTGCTCGTTTTTTTCGTTTGATCTATTTTTGAGTTGAGCAGCGGTGTTTTTTCCGTTTATCAAAGAGCAACGGTGTTTCTAATTGGGCTATTTTCCCGTTATGTCAAATTTTGGAAAATAGAGCACTAGAAGTGGTGTTTTTCCCGATGGGTTTGTCGTTTCATGGTAGCTTTCAATGAATTGTGTTGAGTCTTGTGAGAGCAAGTGTCTTAAAATCGGGAACTATACTTTTTTCCCGTAAACTTTTACCCATTCTTTTCTTTTTTTTTTCACTTTTCGTCGTATCTTCTCATAACATCTCTCAGGTTCCTTACCACTTGGCCTAAAGGTAGCGACGTTGCCTGCGCACTTTAATGTCTGGTGTCTGAGTCTCGGCTCAACCTTGTTTTTTAAGTATCTATGCAAGTGAAAAAAAATTTCAGTAGAAATTGAATTGTCGGATTTTCTTTTGCCTGTTCAAATTTTTTTCGCGAAGTTGCCACTTCGGCAATTTTGCTTGTGCTGTAAGCAACTTTCATTGAAGTTTCAAGCGCAAGTTTTCTTCAATCTAGATTTTGGAGGGACTTGAAAGATAATATAAATTTTTCAAAATTTCTGTTTGGTTAAACTGGTGTCTCTTCAAAGATTGTTGGCTTAGTTGTCATATAACTGATTTTTGTTGTGTTGTATGCAACTTGATGTTTAATCTAGTTTTTGAGGTTCTTGAAAGGTTTTCCCCCGTTTCTTTCGTTGCTGAATTTTTTTCGAGACTTCCAAAATTTATATTTTGGTAGACCTTATTTCTTAGCGTTTTCATTTTTGGCTTATGTTTTTTATGTTTGTGTTGTATCGCAAGTGGTGCGAGTTTGCTGGAGTTTGGAAGATTGTAATCATATACTAAGCTCGGTTTTTAATTGTGAACATAATGTGGATTTAACTTTTTTTCGCCGCTGTTTTGATTTTTTAACTTTTATTTAAATAATCAGGATTCGACTGGTAATTGTATTTAAAAATTTAATGTTGTATTTAAAAATTTAAGAAATTCAAGAAAACTCTTCCTGCTCATGAGACTTTCCTCTTTTTCCCTTTTTACAACTATGGTATTTTTTTCGCAATTTTTAAGAAGATCCGATTTGCGTCTGATGCAAACATCTTTAATGTTGCATGTGAGCCAAAATTTCTCTTTGCAAGTGAGCCTTTTCAGTTATCTTGTTTTTATGTATCAAAGAACAGAAGTTTTTTCCAGGAAGAAATTTAAGTTTTTCACGCTCAACTGTTTTTTCCCGGTTTTTTACTTGTTCTTATTATCGCGTTTTTTGTTTTCAAGTACGAATTCATTTGCAAAATTGAAAAAAAAAAATACGCTCTGAAATTGAAAGTAAAAATTGTAGCAAAACATGAATTATTCTCAGCTAAGACATTTTAATTTTAGGATATCCCAGCGGACATTTTTATGCTTGCTTTTTTCAGCTAAACAACTTGTTTAACAAAATTACTTATACCATTTGATAACTTGTTTTATAATAAATTCAAGTCAAGTTTCTTGGCTTCTCCCATGCATTTGTCACAGACATAACGGCTACGCAAGTGACGGCAAAGGTCCTAGGTTCGTAGCTAGGTGCAGGAACTGTTTTTTATTCTTTGTTTGTCGGATTGTTTTGCTCGCTGTGTGATTAAGTTTTGCCGGGTTATGGTCTCTGCAGTCTGAATATTTCAAAAGCCTTTTCAAGATAAAAACCTATATGGTTTTGAAGCTCTTTGAATTTCAGGAATTATTTATGATAGACATTTTTATTAACCATTACTTGAGAAAATTGGTGCTATGAATAAAACACAGAGGCGAACATAATCCGGCAAAACATAATCTTACAGCCAGCAAAGCATACTGTCTTTTTAGTCTATCTGCTCCTCGCAGAAGTGAGACAACATTGATGTCATGTTTTTCTGTTGTATGAAAATGAAATGATTTGAATAATTTTTAACTTTTTTTTCGCAATTCAGTTTGTAACAGAATATTGAAGTTTGTTTTTTAGCGAAAAAAACTCTAGTACCGAAAAAAAGTAAAAATTATATATTTTATTCGAAGTTTTTTTATTAGATTTTGCAAACTTTTGGTTTAATGAACGTTGAGATAATGCTTCAGTTGAGCTTTTTCATTGGGCCATTTATTTGTTGCTCATTAATATTTGTTCAATTTTTGAAGCCTTTTAAATTTTTCAGAGTACTGGTGTGTATTGATTGATTGATTGATTGATTGATAATGGCATACGGGGCTGGCACAGGTGTGAACAGTCACCATCAGTTGAACTACCTGCTGGAGAAGATGAGTTCGCCAGACAAGGACTTTCGCTTCATGGCTCTGAATGACCTGATGAATGACCTGCAGAGTAATTCGATCACGCTGGACGATGGGAGTGAGAGGAGTGTGGGCAAGAGTTTCCTCAAGTTGCTGAATGATAAGAACACAGAAGTGCAGAATTTGACAGTGAAGTGTCTGCCGCCTCTCGTGGGCAGACTGAAAGGTGAGTTACAGAGAAAAGATTATTGTCTAAATAGACCGTTTGAATGAAATTTATCAAGGCTTAGTCTTTGGATTATCTTGTTTAAGTTAAAAAAAATCTGAGTCGTTTTCGTTCAAAATGATGCGTAATTTGTAACCGTATAGTTGTTCTTTGAGGGTTATTGCACAAAACATTCTCGCTTACTACCGGAATCCAAGGTCGAAAGATTCAATACTCTAGTTAAAACTGATTTCAAATGAAAGTTAATGTGCCGATGATCGATCATCAGAATTGATAAACATTTTTCCAAATTGAATCGTTTTGTAAGATTTCTATTGAACTTTTTACAGCAAAAAAAAAATTAGGTAGTCGGAGCTTTCTGGTATTACTTTCTTTGTCATTGAAAGCCGTTGTTCCACTATTAGGTGGTATGGCGGAGCAAATTATTGATAGCCTGCTGGCTAATATGGAGAATGAACAAAGTGGCAATGAACAACTGAGAGACATCTCCAGCATGGGACTAAAAAGCGTCATCCCAGAGGTCGAAAGGTCACACCCCAGTATAGGAGGAGCAGTGGCACGCAAGGTCATCACTAAACTGACTGCGATTTGCAGTTCCACGTCTAATACAGCCATTACGCTGGAGAGTCTGGACATCATAGCGGATTCACTGTTGCTGTTTGGACCTAGCATTGCCTCAGTGCACAAATCAGTGTTGTACATTTTTTTTGCTTAATTGATTTAGAAACTTTTTCTTGATTGTTTCATAGAAATCTCGGATCTTAGGAAATCAGCATTTGAAGAGATTGTTGTTATAGCAAATATGATGTTGCCATTGTTAAACAATGACTGACTGAGTTCTAAAATTCCATGCAACTAAAATTCCATGTAAATCTGATTTCTACTTGTGAAATTTGAATATGAAAACAAGTTGAAAATTGAAATTTTTTTTGCTCAAATGTACGATGCTTTTCTTTTTCTACCAGTTACTGTGGGATTGTCTCTATCCCAATCTGCGACACGACAGAATGGCAGTGAGGAAAAAAGCGATCAATGCCATCTCAAACCTCGTCGTAAACAGCAGTGTCGAAATGTTCTGTGAACTATTCGAAGTTCTTCTGAAATCCTGCTCTAAAGAAAACCGCGCTAATTTGGATATTGTATGTACTACAGTACAGTGCATAAGTGCAGTGACCAGAAAGGCGGGACATAGATTGAATGAAGGGATGGTTAGGAATGTGTTCCCGGTGATGTTGGAGCTTATTGACATCAAGGACTCGGATGAGACGTGTGATATTAAGGAATCGTGTCTGCAGACATTCGAGGCACTAGTCAGAAGATGTCCAAAAGAGTGCGAGGTAATTTTTTAATTTTTTTTTGCTTTCGAAAGCAAGTATCTTTTAATCGGGAACTTTATTGTTAAAGCTTAAGAACTTTGAGGCTTGTTTCAACTTGGCTTAGAGGTAGCGCCGTCGCCTTTGCACTCTAAGGTCAGGGATTGGAGTCGCGGCCGGACCTTGTTTTTTTCAAGGTGTATCCAATTGAACTTTTCGGTAAAAATTGATTATATCAGACTTTCGTTTATCTGCTCTTTTTGTCGGCTTAGTTGCAACATCACGAATTTCACTTGTGTTGTAATCAAGTATCGTGGCAGTTGCAAGTGTTGTTCTTTGTAGTTTTAGGGGGACTAGAAACTTTTTGAAGTTTTTATAAAATCAATGTTTTTTTTGGCTCAACTGGTGTCTACTCAGTTTAGTCGGCTTTGCTTTCGAGAATTAACGAAGAGAGTGGCCTCTTTAAGTAGTTCAAAATTTAAGCGTGTTTGTCAAAATGAGCAGTTTTAAATTAGTTCACTTCGTGTAGATGCATTGCGCTAAAAGTGTGTTGCCAATTTATGTGGCGATTTGCATTGAATTCCAGGCGTACACCGATATCATAATAGCGACATCTCTCAAGTACCTCTGCTATGACCCCAACTACAGCTACGACAACGATGACGACGAGTCCATGCTAATCGACACTGGAAACACAGACGACGAGGATGAAGAAGACGAAGACGACGAATATAATGATTTATCTGACGATGATGATGTTTCGTGGAAAGTCCGGAGGGCCTCGGCGAAAGTTCTAGAATCCTTAGTAGCTTCGAAACCTCACACTGCGGTTCAGTTTTATAACGAGAATCGAGCGGCTCTTTTGGTGTCCAGGTTCAAAGAGCGAGAAGAAAGCGTAAAAGATGATATCTTTCAAACATTTGTAGTTCTGTTGCGCCAAACCAAGATGTATATCAACTCCTCGGTAACAGGAGGCGATGCCATGGAATGTTTTTCGGTGCCTACGACCGTTCTTCAGTCTTTGATTCCAACTATAGTCAAGGAATCGAAAAAGATGTTCAAAAGTCCAAGCATGAAAACCCGACAAGGAATTTTTATGGTCTTAAACGATTTAGTCATTGCATTACCTGGTTGTCTTTCGGAAGAGTTTGCAATTGTAGTTCCAGGTATTGAGAAATGTTTTGAAGACCGCTCAAGTACCGCTAACTTGAAATTGGACTGCCTTGTATTTGTAAGCTCAGCTCTTAGAAACCATCCGAAAGAAGTGTTCTACCCACATTTGCCTAAACTAGTTGCTCCGATTTTGAAAGGAGCTAACGATAAGTTCTACCGCATTGCCGCTGATTCGCTGCAAGTTTTGCAAATGTTCGTTGAGATTTTGCTTCCGCCAACCGACCTAGAAGTTCACGAGGCAAATAAAGACCTATTCAATCTCGTTTTCGAAACTGTTTATTCTAAACTGAAAGCGACTGACCTAGATCAAGATGTGAAAGAACACGCGATTTCATGTATGGCCCAGATTATATACAACGGAGGAGATTTACTAGGGTCCAACTTACAAGCGTGTCTGAAAATATTGGTCGAGAGACTTAGCAATGAAGTGACAAGATTGTATGCTGTAAAGGCATTCGCAAAAATAGCCGGATCTCCAAGGAGTTTGGAATTTAAGTACGAAGCAAATCAAGCGGTTCCACTTTTGATCCAATTCCTGAAAAAGAATCACAGGATTTTGAGGCTGTTTTCGGTCGAGTGCCTTTACTCGTTGATTCGCCGACACGATGCTCAAATTGCACCGGAGCAATATAACTTCTTAATCGAGACCATTCCGATAGTTCTGACTGAAACTGACCTTCAAATAACCCAAATTGCACTGAATTTACTCGGGCTGGTTGTGAACAACAACCCTGCGATTGCGTCCAAAGTGTTCAAAGACATCTTCCCAAGTCTTATCGCTCTTTTGAAATCCCCGGTTTTGCAAGGAGCTCCTTTAGAATCAATGTTGAAATTTCTTCAATCGTTGTCGAATCCTGGAAAAATTTCATTTGATGCGCTCTACAGGCCTTTGCATGACTTGATGTTTACTCAAACCGAAATTGTACATAAACAGACTTATTCTTCAGTAGCTCAAGCAGTGGCATTGTTGTCAATAGCTGCTGGCCAACAGTTTAACATAGTAACCGAGTACTCAGGATTCCTATCTCAGAGAAGCACGGATAATGTCAAGGAAGTTAGTCGAATTTTCTGTCTGAACACAATTGGAGAGATAGGCAAAAGAGTTGACCTTTCTCAGCACGAAAGTCTACCGGCGCTTATTCTGAGTGCGTTCGAATCTCAAAATGAGGAAATGAAAAATGCGGCCTCTCTTGCATTAGGAGGTATAACAGTGAGTGCGATACCGACCTTCCTGCCATTTGTTCTAAATCACCTGAAAAGTCAACAAAAAAGTAGGAATTTGTACCTGCTTCTAAAGTCACTAAAGGAGTTTATAGTTGTGCTTTTGCAACGTGGCGATGGAGCCTTGAAGAGTCTAGACCAGGAGTTGTGGAATAATTTGATGAGTTACAGCGACTGCGCTGAGGAAGGAACCCGAAGTGTTGTTGCCGAATGTCTCGGACGACTCACGCTCGTCAACTACACTGTGCATCTCGGATATCTGAAGCAATGTGCGAATAATCAGAACCCACTAGTTGCTAGTACTGTCGTAACTGCGGTCAAGTTTGCTATAACCGATAAGCCTCACCCGATAGACGAACAACTGAAATTAGCGATGGGCGACTTTTTGTCATGTTTAAAGCATGAAGATGTGAATTTAAGGCGGCTGACACTTGTTATGCTGAATTCAGCAGCGCATAACAAACCGGTGCTCATTCGAAACCAGCTGTCGAATGTTTTGGCACTTCTGTATAAGCAAACGTTGGAAGACAAAAGTTTAATTAAACTTGTCGAAATGGGACCTTTCAAACACGAGTTTGACATGGGTCTTGATCTGCGCAAAACTGCCTTTGAATGCATGTACACGCTACTTGAAACTTGTCTGGACAAGATTCCAGATATTTCAGAGTACTTGACGTACCTGCAAAATGGCCTCAAGGACCGCTATGACATCAAGATGCTGGCCCATTTGATGTTGATCAAGTTATCAGTCCTAGTTCCAGGCGCGGTTTTGCAGAGGTTGGATAAAATCATGGAAGCGATCAAACTGACAATTACGTCCAAAGTGAAAAATGACTCAGTTAAGCAAGAGTATGATAAGCAAGAAGAGATCAAAAAGTCGGCGTTGCGAGCGGTCCTCGCGCTTTCGAAATTACCCGAAGCAGATCGAGTTCAGGCAGTTGTCGATGTCATTGCTCTGTGTAAAGTAAACTATCCCGACCTCTACAACTACTATGAAAACCTAAAGAAAGAATCAAACCTGATTGGGTTGCCGAAAAGAATAGGAACTGACAGTATAGATATGGAGACGTGAAAACTTAAAGACGCCCAGGTGAAGAAGAATTGAAAAGGAAGACAGCGAGGCTAAAGCAAAACTGAGCATGACTTGTTTATTATTAGCTTTTAGTGCGATAGTGTTATCTTTATTGATCGAAGACGCTGTTTAAACGTACGTATCTAATTGAAAGTTTAATTTCATTTTCGCTTTTCACAAAGTTTAATAAATCTGTTATGGAGGCATTTTTTTAAATCCAAGTCATAGCTATTGAATACTTCAGCAAAATCTGGAAAAATTTAACAGATATATTGAGACCAACCAATGTTCTCATTAACAAGTATCAATTATTGGTCTGTAGTTCATGGTTAACATGAACTGCTGGAAAATCAGGGGCGCTTGGATTCACCAGCGCGAGCAAGATTTTTGTTGTGCTGCAATTTCGGGTGCTTTCCCTGATATCCCATTGCAGTTCAATTGGAGAAAATTTAGACTTTACTAGGTTGGGATTGGTTGCCGGGAAGATGAGATACGCGCTGTATGGTTTTGTGGGTTAGTGTTTGGATTGTTGGGTAATTTGTAGTCCGAATGTTTTTTGGCCTTTTTGTTTTATTACTAGGAGGGGCACGATATGGTTGTTTGTATGATATGCTTGCTTGAGTGTGTGAGTTTTTGTATTACAAGGAGGGCAGATGTAGTGACAAGGGTTTTGGGTTAATGCCGACATGTAAAAGGAGGATAAGTATTAATAGGCGGGGAACAGCCCATCTGACTTTGAATGCTCCGCAATTAAAAACACGGTTTGAGCAGGCTTTCTGCGCTCCCACGCACGGTAGGGGGCTTCAATGCTATTTGCGGCGGCTTTTGTCTTGCGTCGGGTCCCTCGCGGCACGGCGGCACTATTGGACTTAGCTGAGCTTCTTTGTCAAATTTTCACATCAGTCACCCAGTGTTCGTTAATTTCGAATGGTGTATTCATGCATAAAATTTTTAATTAACGTCAAAGAAAACTCAATGGTAAACAAGTGTGATATCCTCTCAGGTCTGATTTGGATTTCATAAAAAACATTTTAACTTGAATTACCGCTGATTTTCTAAAATTCACTTGTGCTCGGAACATTCTGGGTTACTTGTATGTTAGTTTTTGTGTGTAAATTAATTTGGTTTGACCAAAAGTTGAATCCGCATTTTATTTAGCAGACAATGTTTTCTAGGTTTTCTTGTAAATGTTTCGTATCTATCGAATGTTAAAGTCCTCGGTATATTGAAAAGCGTGTTTAGTTTTGTCCAGCATCTGTTATGTCGCCTCCTGTTAATGATGGAATCTTCTTTTTCTTTGACCCTCTGGTCTTGGGCAGAGATGTGTAGCTGCGTACTTAGATGGTCGCATCTTCTCAAGGGATACCGTCTTATTGTCGGTCTGAGATTGTCTAAGAATAGGCACTGGTGTTCCCACTGAAATCGTTTTTTTTTCTGATTTCTCAGCTCCCTGCATTTCTTCAAAGTGTTGTCCTTAACTATGATTGTGAGCTCCTAGCGGGGCTCGGGCGGTTTTCCTACCAGTGTGCGTGCCGTTCATAGTTTTAATCCACCTTTCAGAATGTTCCCTAGTTACAGCTGTTTGTACTACTTTTCCCACGGTAGGTTTTGGAGTGTATTTTTAACTGCCAGCTGCAGTTTGTTATATCTTTAAGGAGCTCAGTAGAGAAATTATGAACTAATTGTATAATCAAAGTTGAGAGTTAACGTAGAATAAGAATTCAGAACACAACATGAATTCATTCTCTTTTTCCGAAGTTTGGCTTATTATGAAATCTAAGCATTCGAAATGCAAAAACTCATATGATTTGGATGTACATAAGTTTATACTAACTATTAAAATGCCATGCGACTTCTACAGTGCTGATTTAAATTATCCGGACAAGACAAACTAAATTTGAAACTTGAAACTTCAAACGCGTAATTTCAAATTTCAATTAGTAAATGAAGAATTACGCTGAAACTACCACATTAATTGATGAGAAATTTATATCAAGAGAAGCCTCTACAGGTCAACAAAGTTCTAGAAGGGTAGAACTTCCAAAAATCTGTATAAGAGAATATATTTTTGGTTGATAGCAAAAAATGATCATTTTTACTTTATACAAATCAAAATCTTATAAGAACTTAGCGCAAATTTTATCTTTTTAGAACTTTGTTGGGCTGTAAAAGAGGAATAGTAGTAGTAGTAGTTTAGGCGCCTAACAATCCGAGGGGGTGGGGGTGAGCAGGGCGCGGAAAAGAGCAGGAGTAAAATGTTCTAGATTGTTTGAGAACATTTCAAAATGGTCGTTAATTGTTCTAGATTATTCCAGAACTTTCATACACATATATCGATATAAATAGCACCAAAATTTTAGTATAATTAATTAAAAATTACTTGCTATCTTTGAACTTATAAGCTTTTTGTAGCGTTTAAATTTTAAATTCTTACTAATCTTACCCGAATTTGAGAAAAACGCGTTTCAATTTTTCAACGTTCGTTTTGTTCGTTTAATTTAAATCAGCACTGTATACATAATATGAACATAAATCTATAGTCTTACAGTACCCCGGGTTCTGTAAGATTATAGGTTTATGTTCATATTATGTAGACAGTGCTGATTTAAATTAACCAGACAAAAAGAACAACATTGGAAAATTGAAAAGCATTTTTCTCAAATTCGATTAGTGAAAAAATGAACAGAACTGAAGTTGCTCAGCATTTAACCATAATTATCATGGTGAAATTTATTTGGCGAAGTTCGGAAACCGTAGGTAGTGGGCGTCATCTGTAAGTTGGGGTTGCAATTTGTCAACTTATGAGTTTAAATTTAAACGGTTTTCCTCTTCTCCGTATGTATAACCTTTTGGCGGGACACTTTGTTGATGACATTTTTGCTGTCCATGGTTGGCTTAAGAAATTTAAGTACATCACTTATTGATGGAAAAACGTTTTTGAATTTTAAGAAAGGTGGCTTTTATTATACTTTTTATTTTCATAGTTGTGTCTCTTAATCATGGTGTATTTTAATTGCGGCGGCTTTAATTTGTGAAAAGAAAACGGCACAAAAGAACGCTGGTTAATCTTCAAAAACCTTCAAGTTTCTTTCGACGAAATCTTTAAGTAGTATATCTGAGTAATTTTCTATTCGAAATTTGGTTATTTCAGGTCAAATGACAATTTGAAACAGTTTAGAATGGCTGCCGATGTCTTCGAAATAGAAGATTTTACCAATGCAACAGACTGGGAGAATTTTATCTTCCTAGTCGAACAATTCTTCGCACAAATCCAATCTTCATTATTAACAAACTCAACTAACTTCGGCGACATTAACTCTTCGAATCCTAAATCAAACTGCTTGTGTAGTGATGTTATTAATCTTTCAGGGCAAGTTTTCGAGCTTCACTGTTACGATCTTGGTGGCTTTGAAGTTGACTGCAATAAAACTGTCTCAAACAAAAAAGGCAGTCAAAGTCGTGATTATGGAAAAATGTCGAGCGAAGTTTCATTTATAGGTCAGAACGAATCATCGACATGTCCCTACAAAAACATTCCAAAATGGTTCGGCTTTTCCTGCTTCGTTATTTTGAAATGCACCAGTTCTGAAATTAAGTCTGAATCGGACATGCAATCAATACTTAGTGCTTGTAGTGTAGTTAGCTGTAATATCGGGCTCAACATACCAATTTTCGGACAGTTTCTCGAAGAGTGGCGGTGCTTTTTATCCGGTTTTGGAGGCGCCGGTTTAGATGGCTCTGAGAATGAATATAGAATGGATATGATTCATATGAAGTCGGCGCCGAAATCGAACTTGACTCACCTGTCGGGATTGTTGGACCTTTTCAGGGAACACGCGGCCTTGTCTAGTAGCGCAGAGGTTACAGTCTCAGCTTGTTTTACGTACTCATTGTATGATTGGACCGAGTTCACATTGAATTGGGAAGATCAGAATGTGCCTTTGGCAGACACAATGGGAGAAAATGTTAGTTGGGTGATGATCATCGAGTAAAAAGATTTTTTTTCTTGAAGAAAAAATTTGTTTCTCCAAATATAATTTATCAATTAAAAAAAATTGAAATTCGGTTAGATGAACAAGTAGAACTTTCCAAATTTTTGATATTTACACACAGAAATTGTACTGTCAAATGAATTGTACGAGAATTGTACTACGTAATTTTGTCGCTATTTTAAAAAAATTATTAGATTTTTTATATGATTCAGTTTAGAGCTGTTTTTCGCAGGCAAAAAAAAAGATTTTGTTCCGGAACCTTTGATTTTACAAGGTAGATGAAGATATCAAATGTGTTTAGTGGTTAATTACCGTATATTTTACCGTATATTACCGTACAGTCGGGTTATGTGAAGGAAAGTGTCAACTGGGTTGAAATAGTAAAAGAGCACAACTATTTTCTGACTGTTAACTATCAGTTTTACTAGGCGATAATATTAGTCCAACTGATTGTCTCTCAATGCTTAACTAGGAAACAATCGGTGAATCAGTAGCCGTCCTCTTTGACATTCCAGTCGGCACTTTCGACGAAATAGTCTCTGAGATTCAACTGTCGGCTTGTTGGGATGGTCTGTCCTGTTCAGTCGTAGAAGAAAGCGAGTCGTATTCGGATATGACTCCCTTAAACGCACCGCAGTGGTGGCTGTCTGTGAAAATGAACCAAAATCCGAATTGCATTTTAAGTCAACATATTTTGAGTATACTTCGAATGACTAGACTTTCGTTTATTCTACAAAAGGCGAAATTAAGCCCAGTTAACTCTTATGACCGACTTGAAGATCTGGAAAAGTTAGAGCTGCCGGATATCAATAACATCATAACGAGGAAAAAATGGAGCGAAACTAACTATACAGTGCATAGTGAAGAAATGAGTGATCAGTTAGCAGGGGCAATTATAGAACGACTTTTTGACAGAAGTTTTTCGCGTAGTCATTTCTCAATGGATGAAATTTGCACGGCATTCAAATCTGCACCAAAGAATAGTATAATTTACGATTTAGCTTGGATTCTGTGTCATATAAGTTATCGTTACTCTAGCGCCGAAGCGATGTTAGTCGTTTGGAGAAAGTTCGTAGCTCAGGTTCGGGAGTACTTCGACGCTGGTGTCTACATTCCTTCGGTTTCGGTGGAAAAACCAGATTTTTCATCTTGCTTGTTGAATCAAAAGTTGCAGTTTTTGAACTGCTGTACCAAACGTAGATTGGACCGCGAAACGAGGTGTAAAAATGCGAATTCATCAATTGATTTGAACAAAGAGAATGTTCTGAACAAAAGTGAACTTAGTGTTGTTTCATCAACAGGTGAAAGTGGAAACGCACACGAAGACGAGTTTTTCGATTGCGATTATGATAACAATGGACAAAAAGAGGGTGAAGAAGTTAGGAAATCGTCTGAAAACTTAGCAGATAGGAAAGATGACAAAAGTGAACAAACAAATGCACGGGAAGGAGACGAATGGAATGAAATGTGGGATAATTCTGATTGGAATTTCGACGATGAACCTGATATCGAGGAGAAAGAACTTGAAAAGAACGAGAAGAAAAAGCAAACCAGTACATTGAGGCCACCTGAGGGAAGACTGAAATTGTTCAAGGCTAGTGTTTAACCTAAATAGTTGAATGAATTTCAGCTTTTTATTTCAAAAAATTAAAAACGCCATTAAGGAAGTCTATTCATCTCATAAGTAGCGAAAACGTAAATAGCTGAGAAAAGTTCAATGATGGCAAATATAAATTAATTTTTTACACTGTAGGAAGAGGAATTCCTCTTAGAACACCCAACAAGCCCGTTGTACGTCCCAGAAACCCAGGAACCACCGATCATGACAGAGTACTCCCTGGCCAAGGAGGCGGAGTTCCTGGAACAGCTGGGATCTAATTCAGATGCAAGTGAACTGAGAATGTTGATTCAGTCACGCACGCTGCTGTCTGACATGGAGTGCTTCAAGGTTAGTGATGTCGTTATTTAAAAAATTCTATCTGCATTCATTTGGCAAATAATTTTTTAGTTTGAAAACATTTGTCAATTATGCTCATAATTTGAGGCATTTTCCAAATGCTAGCGCAGTCGAAGTAAGCAGTTAAAAAGGCCGTGGAGATGAAATATGATCTAATTGAACGCTGAGCCCTGTAAACCTAACTTCGTGTTTCTAAAAGAAGTGGCTGACTGGTTTGGTTGACCTAGGCGGCCAACCCGGGATGTGTTCTGGAAGATTTCATCAGGTGGTATTCTCCTCGAGACTGGAGTCCATCAGAAGGTCTCAGTGTCCGTATGACTCAGGACTCCTCTAATATCTGGGTCAAAAATTGGAACATGGCCCTCCCAGTGCCGGCCAAACGACAGAAGCGTCTATTTGACGACACCAAAGAGGCCGAAAATCTGTTTGGATATTTTTCGTCTCTAAACCGAAATGATTTGGCAGACTTGATTATCAACCCGTTGCTACATCATTGCTACGAAGAAATCGTATCAACGAAAAAAGAATTCACTTGCTTTGAAGCTATGAAATTAAATCTGGAAAGCGATGTGAAGAAACTTCATCAAGTTGACCTCGAAAGCGAAGGCAGAAAATTGTATCAGTTTTTAGTCGATTTTGTGGCTTTAGAGTTGATAATATCTCGTGCTGCGTCGCTTGAAAAGAAGTTTTGTCATTTACCAACTTTCTCAAACGCAGAAGCTGCCACCAAGACCATCAAAAGAAATGTGAAATTTGAAGTGAAATCTGAAATTACAGGCGAAGTTGACGATATATACAAAGATTTTGTAAATAGTTTGATGGAGAGTTCCACTGTTCCTGTAATCGGAGCTTCTCGTGGGCCGGTTGGTGACGTAATTTGCAATCTTTTCTCGCTTGCCAATAGGATTCAAGAAGAGGACGATTACTCATTCGAACGAGCAAAATCAGCTGGTCCGATTACAGATAACATGTTTCCTGCACCTATAACAAAAGAGTTTGTTTTACAGGCCAATTTATCGACCGATAATCGGAATAGAGAAAATTTGAAAAATAAGTGGAAAAATAATGATGACTGCGGAGACAGGGAGTCGGGTAAGATTGCAGTTGATTTACCACAGAGAATGTACGCGACAGTTGGTGCTTCTGAATTTAGAGTTGCAATGACAACATGTAGTTCTACTAAAATTGTATAAAGATGAAATGGTGGTGTTTACGTAATTAAGTGTAGTTAATAGATATAAGTAATTTTTGTTTTCTCCACCGCAAACAACATGTTTTTCTATTCTTTTTCGCAAAAATGTCTTTTAGCTAAAAATAAGTATCATTTTTCTGAATTGTGCTCACTATGAAGCTAAGCTTATCCTGGAAGTACTACTATGTTTTTCAGGATTTAACTATTCCGATTGTTCGTGATGAGTTTTTTGTTTTTAGGAAAATTCCTAAAGTTTGTTCAGGCCTTACAGCACTTAGAGCATAGCTATTAGTTTCCTCTTCTGTGAGTTTTCTCCCACCAAAAAAAGCTAAAAATTTAGCCTTGTACGAATAATTGTTCCGACTTTCGAAGAAAACGGAATATTTATGCTCGGTGTGGCTTTTTATTCAGGCAATTTTCGCCGATCGAAATAATTGTTTCCGACAAAAAAAAAATTATACCCCATTGGAGATGTCGACTTCCTGAATTCAAATGTAAAAAGATATTTTACCTCGTTTATTTTTTGTAAAGTTCTGGGGGTTTGAAAGTTGCCAAATGGGCCATGTTCTGGACTAAATTATGCGCGGTTTGAGAAATCTATCTATCTATTATTTAATTGGCGTTTAATTGTGTAAGAAGTCCTTATGTTGGCATGTTTAAGAGAACTCTGTTTGAATGTTTAAAATTTTTCAACGTATTATTTTTTGTATGTTTAACGAAAGTGTTTTTGCACGTTTAAGCTATATCGTATAGTAAAACGCTTAAGAAATTTCATTTAGCACATGTTAAAGAAGTCCCTATGTTGGTCTGTTAAAAGGCCAAAACATTGCAAGTGTCGGAAAGGTTACTCAAGTCAGCTTTTCAAAATCAGTTGGAGCTCGAATGTTATAACTCCTTTGTTCTTAACGTAAAACTATCAAAGTTTTTGTTTCACCATTTACTTTATTGATTTTGAGTTTCTCAACCCTAAAGTGGGGTACTACCATGGTACACTCAGAGGTTGCAAATCTAGCGTCCAAGTGGGACAGCTCAAATCCTTTTGGTTCTCGAGAGTTGGCGTTTTTTATGATTTGTTCATTTTTTTTTCAAAAAGTTTAGATATAAAAAAACTAACCGGACTTGAATTTCTCAACCCTATAGTGGGGTGCTATCAGGGTACACTCTAGGGTTGCAAATCTAACGTCTGTATGACCGCTCAAGTCCTTATGATTTTCGAGATATGGCATTTTATAATTTTTCATTTTTTTTTTCAAAAAACTTTAAAAAAAACAACAACTTTTCGAACTTGAATTTCTCAACTCTTTGGTGGAGTGCTATCAGGGTACGCTCAAGGGCTGGATCTCTAGCGTCTATATATGACTGCTCAATTTTTTTTGGTTTTCGAGAAATGGCGTTTTTTAATGATTTATTTTTTTTTTTTTTCAAAAAACTTAGATATAAAAAACTAACCGAACTTGAATTTCTCAACCCTATAGTGGGGTGCTATCAGGGTAAATTCGAGGGTTGCTAATCTGGCCTCCAAGTATGACTGCTCAAATCATTTTCGTTATCGAGTATGGCGTTTTTATGATATTTTGAATTTATTGTTTTTCAAAAAAACTTAGATAGTTTATTTTTTTTTCAAAAACGTAGATGTTAAAAAAATAACGGAACTTGAAATTTTCAACTCTATGGTGGCGCGTAGTCAGGGTACACTCAGGGGTTGCAGTTTTTTTCCAAATGTGACTGCTCAAATCCTTTTGCTTACCGAGATGTGGCGTTAAACATTCGGCGTTGCAAATCTGCCCTCTAAATTTGACTGCTCAAATCCTTTTCCGAGATGTGGCGCCTGATACATGAGCCCAGTTCATCTTCACGGTTGCAAAAATAATTTAGTACGTGTTGTAGGAAGCTCTTTTAATGTTCAACGATCTGTTTGAAGCACCGTAGGTGCGAGTCATGCGCTAGTTTATTCATATTGCTGAGAGCGTAACGCGAGTTATTTATGCGTGGTGAATTATCCCGCATAACAAAATCGTTCCAAATTGAATTGAGGCTAGCTAATTTGTCGTATTAATTCCGTACGACTCAATATTTTACACTTTGATTTTGTCCAAAATTTACAGTTTTTCAATATTTTCTTTTCCCAAAATGAATTAAGGGACAGTCGGAACATTCAGGGCTTTGCCCTGATATACGAGCAGTCTTGTATTTTTTCCGCCGATTGGCAGGCGTTATTGATTTATTATTTTTGAGCTAAAAAAGAATCATATCAAAAAAAAGAATCATATCAAAAAAAGAATCATAAAGAATCAACTGTTTTGTGGCACAAAAGCCATGAGTCCCTATATCTTGCAGTAAACATCTCTGTTTCTCGTCACTTTAAAAATGCAACTATTTCAATATTTTACAATGGGTGATATTTTACAGTAAGTAGCAGGTTTACTGGCAGGTCTTTACAAAGCAAAAAATGGTCCCAACGGGATTCCAACTCGCAGCTCTGGGAAAGAGTAAAATATGTTAGCAACATGTTACTAGCCAGTATGCAATAAGCCATGTGACTGAAGGCCTATACCCTATACGCCTCGGTTTGAAACCCGGTCTGTACCATTTTTTTTTGCTCACCTGAGTTGGATCTGCCAGCACTTATTGTGATATATTGTAATATCGCCATATTTCTTTAACAAGAAATTCCAAAGTATATTCGTTTTCTTTCCCAGCGATTGGCCGGTGATATTGTTTATCATTTTGCACGAGTAAAGAAAATCAAATTCGACTGGTGTGGTGGCATTTAAGTCATTTAGTGCCCATATATTGTATTAAGTTCTCCACCAAAACAGTACAAAAATTACTTAAGGAAGAAAATCCAATTTTTCCATTTTTTTTTGAATTTTTCTAACGTGTTAGCAGTTATAGGAAAAGGTTTTCCAAGTTTCACATCAAGTTTTCTAATGTTTAAGGTGCTAATTGATACTTGGGTAATAATGGTTGTTTTGTTTTCATCTTTTTTTTTGCAATTGCCTGCATTGCTTATTTTTTTAAACAATTGTCATAATGTAAGGCCTTGAATGCAAATTTCTTTCAATTTCGCAGCCTTTTATAAGCTTAATTTTCTATCAAATGTATTTTTAGATATAGTAAATGTCGGTGTCAGCGTTGCTGCGAGGTTAGATTTTCAACGACGTTTGACTGAATTCCTTGTCATCTCCTTTCAGTATATCATCATCACTTAACTAGTTAATCTGGACGTCAAACATTTGGCGTCAATTGTCCATTGATATTGATTGAGGGGTTTTATACGACTGAACTGAAGTCTAAAACAGAGAATAGTTCGAAGTTCAATTTGGTTTATTCTACAGGTGTTTGCTCCAAGGCTTGAAAACTGGCGTTATAATTGAGGTTTATGGCTTAGAAAATCTCGGTTTAATTTTTACGCCCAAAATATTATCATTAAAAAAGATCTCTTAAATCTGAAGTAATCTATCAAAGTGCTCTGCAATTAATTGGATTCATTTCGCCTCAAAGGGTTTCTTTCATTTGTCTAAGCCTGTAATAATTCCTTAACTGTAGAATTAAAATCTTTGATCCAGTATTCAAGATTGCTGCTCATAATTCATCGTACGATCAATTAAATTATTTGAACCGAACCGAAGGTTATCAGAGTTTACTGTATTCAAACTTTTATCAGCATAATTTTGGCCATCATTATAGCTTTGCCGACTGTATTCAGCAGCATTCTTCTGATTACAAGATCACAAAAGCGTGTGTCTTGAGCATCATAAAGCGATTGCAATTATCTCCAATTTTATATTACTGTATCGGATTTTTTCAAGATACACCCGAGTACTGTTTCTTCAAGGAGCTCGACACCATGTTCAACGAGGATCATTCTATGTTCCTTAATGCCTGTTACGGCACTTTGTTCACGTGGGGAATGACAGCAGCAGGTGCGGCCTTGGTCTTCTTTTGCCGTAAAGCCTATCGGAAGTTCCTGGACGCAAGTCTGGGTTTTGCGGCTGGGGTGATGGTCGCAGCCAGTTTCTGGTCGCTTATTAACCCGGCTATTGAAATGGCAGAGGAGTCTGGCAATTATGGCGAGTTTGCGTTTGTTCCAGTGGCGATCGGATTTGGAATTGGTGAGTGTTTTCGTCAGGAATGGTAGAAAATGAAAGGACAAATAAATTGTATCTAAGGTACTACTATGATAGAGTGGTCCCTCGAAACAGCAACTATGATAGACAGGTCCTGCTGTTATTTCGCATTTTATAATTTTGAACATTAGTTTGTTTATAAATTATTAATTTCAAAAATCTGGCGAAATAAGCAAGTGTATTGCAAACGGGTGCTAGGCTTGTTTTCCCGCGAGGAACTTTGTCCACAGACTCATCTGGACTCATCTCTACCTTGTTTTATTATGTTTTCAAATTGCTTAGGGTTCTTGGCCAACTTAGCCTGGAGGTAGCGAATATGCATGGGACGGCAAAGGTCCTGGGTTCAAGTCTGACCAGTTTTTTTTCAAACAGGAAATAATTTGTTGCAAAAAAAAATTGTCGGCCAATTATTTGTGCTTATTTGTTGTCGGCTTAGTTGCCACATCTTGGAGTTGTTTTTTTTCTACATGCTTTTTTTAATAATGTTTTTAGTTCTCGATTTACGCCTACACTGTAATTTTACCTACCTTGACTTCATATTGCCTTCTTTGTTTTTTTTTGTTTACCTTAAAAAAATATCCTCTGCCAAAATTATTTTGGCCTATTTTTCATCGGCTTCATGACCTAATTTTGGGACGCTTCAAGATCCACACAGTTTTAGCACTCTACTTTGCACTTTTCAAATTTTTTGTATGTTTAACAATCTGTTTATTGAAGTTTCATTTTTTTCTTTTTGGAAAATTTTTTCACTTTTAGCAAAATTTTACTTTTTTTTCTCAGAAACTTTTCCTGATTTCCAAAAAAGGAGTATCAATTCAGAGCCGCTTATCCCTCTGTCTGCCTGCATAGTCCCCTAGAGTCTTTTTTACTTGACCCTTCTGTCTACAGCCTTCGAAAAAGTGTAGAGGAATATTTGACCTACATTTTTGAGTTTTTTTTGTTTTCTCGAAAACTACCTCTCTCATATACAAGTTTTTGGTTTCAATGAATAAAACTCACCTGCATAAGTGGTCACAATCAAATTTTTTTGCATATAAAGTTATGGCCCTTGGAATAGTTAAATGTTTGATTTTTGACCGTTTGTGGATCTTTTCGTTTTTCTCGAAAACTAGCGTCTCAAATCTGATATTGTTAGTTCAATTAGATCAGGTATTGGTAATCTCCTCTGCCTTAGCGAACACTAAGAAAAAGTTTAGCAAGAAGTTATCGCCCTCTGAAAAGTCAAATTTTTGGTTTTTGACCCATTTTTAAAATTAAGTTATCTCGTAAACTTCCCTGCCATACCTGAGATTTTGGGTTCAATTCTCAGTACGTGCTTCGGTTAGTTCATTTGTTTATGCGACTACGCCCAATTTTTTTTTACTCCAAAAGCTTTGGCCCTCGGAAAAGTAAAAATTTTGATTTTGTGACCGTTTTTTTAACTTCTCTCGAAAACTACTCTCCCAAATCTGATATTGTGGGTTCAATTAGATAAAGGTCAGTGGGAAGCTCCTGTGAATTAACAGACACTACCAAAAATGTAATCAAGAAGTTATCGCCCTCTGAAAAGTAAAATTTTTGATTTTTTGACCTTTTTTTTTTTTCAAACTTTTTGAATGTTCTCGAAAACCACCTTGCGATACCTGAGATTTTGGGTTCAATTCTCAGAACGGGCTTTACTTCTCTCGAAAACTACTCTCTCAAATCTGATATTGTGGGTTCAATTAGATAAAGGTCAGTGGAAAACTCCTGTGAATTTGCAGGCTCTACCAAAATTGTACACAAGAAGTTATCGCCCTCTGAAAAGTCAAATTTCTGATTTTTTGACCGTTTTTTTAAAAAACTTTTTGAATTTTCTCGACAACCACCTTGCGATACCTGAGATTTTGGGTTCAATTCTCAGAACGGGCTTTGAGAAGCTCTTATGCTTATGCGACTACGCCCAGTTTTTTTTCTCCAAACGCTTTGGCCCTCGGAATTTTAAAAATTATGATTTTGTGATCGTTTTTTCTTTTAAAGATCTCGACTTCTCTCGAAAAGTACTCTCCCAAATCTGATATTGTGTGTTCAGTGAGAAAAACGGGAAGCTCTTAAGTATTAGAGGAAACTAAGAAAAAGTTGTACACAAGAAATTATCGCCATCTGAAAAGTCAAATTTTTGATTTTTTGACCGTTTTTTTTTTTACTTTTCTGGCTAACCCTCCTGCCAAATCTGATATTATAATTTTAAGCCCAGTTTAATTTAAATAAGTTATGGCCTTCAAACAAGTCAAAGTTTTAAAACTTTAACAGTGTTTTCGGAAACTTATTGACTTTACCCGAAAACTACCGGGCCAATTCTCAGGTTGTGTTCAAACAAGAAACTTGGCTTTAGAAATCTTCTCTGCTTAAGCGGCCATAACCTGCTCTTCTGCAGAAAAACATGGATATTGGAAGTCTTTTGAACGTTTTTTAGGACTTCTGACCGCTTTTTAGAAATTTTTTGAATTTTCTTAAAATTTACACAATCAAATCTGAGATGAAAAAAAAAATCCATTGAAAGATCAGGTTGCTATAATTGTTCGTGCAGAAACAGCGATTCCTTAATTTTTGTAAGAAAAATGTTTTCTCCTCGGGAAAATTGATTATCTCTCTGTTCGTGCCGCATCAATATAGCAAGTTCATTCCGTAGCTGGCCCTGTAGTTGGTTTTGATCGAGACTTACGAATAATTTGGCTCACCTTGTTTTATTCAATATCTAAAAACTTTTCGACATGTTTTTTTTTTCGTTTGTATTGTATCGCAAGTGGTGCGAAACTCCGCTTCTCCTCTGTGTGAAAGTATACTTTTTGCAGCTCTCAACCTTTTTGTGGGGTGCTTACAGGGAACACACAGAGGTCGCAGATATAGACCTGCATAGTTGGCCTCTATTTGAACTTTCAAAAAATTGTAGTTTCCGAGGCATGACAGTTTTTGTTGTTCAAAAAGTTCCGGTATTCTCAAGAAATTTTTTCTAAGATTGATACAAAATCTGATTGATGTTAGAACTTTAGATTTTTTAAAACATGAAAAGTGCAGTTATATGCTGTCGGTCTTTTTAGGGTCCTATTTCTCAAATGAAAATGAAATTATCTGTATTTCAGAAGTTATTACACTTGCGAAGCAAAGGTTATTAATAAAAACTTTCTTTTTTTTCAACCTAAGTCGCAAATCTATTAGTGCCACTTTTGAATTGGCAGACTGCGGTAGCAGTATAATATGATATGTGCTTTGACATTTGATAAGTAAAAAGTTAACACAGCTGATGCATTTTAATTCATCAAATGAACCGAAAAAGTTATGACTATGTCAGTACAAAGATAAAAATCAGTAGAATGATAAAAAGCTCGATTTCAGAATTTTTCCAACTTATTGTATCTCGCAATTTTTTTGAAATGCATAATTTATACATATTTTGGTTATATGCTTTCCAATTTATTACATGCAAAATTGTCTTTTTGTATCTGGTGCTACTTTTGCTGCATCGAATTGGCAATTTTTTTTAGCATATGTAGCTGGGTTATTGGTGGCTATTTTTTTGGGAATTTTAACCGTCCGTGGCTGAGTGATTTTTGCGTGAGATTCAAATTTGCTAGTTGTCAGATTGGAATCGGATACGTAGCCGAGTTTTTGCTAATTATATTTTTTCTTTTTTCACTCGATAGAGCTGCTTTTTGGTCGTGTTCTTGCAAGTGTTTGCGAAGAGCAGCTTAGCTTCGCCTCTGTGTAAAAATATGACATTTTAGTTTTAAAAAAATTACTTAAACTTTGACTTTGTAAATTGTTCTTTTTACAAAACCCTGTTAGATGACCCCAGTAAGTTCATAAAAAGTGACAATTCATGAAACTCAAAGAGCCTTCTTATGTGATATATTTTTCTTCGAAACTGGAAAGTTATATTTTTCATATTTTAATCAGTTTTATTTTGTACTTGTTCTGTTACGCTTTTCCGACCGTCTGATGTAAATGTTTCTTCTTCTTTTCTATACACTATAACAATGGAACAGCGATTTGACTGCGTTTTTCTGCTACTTTTTAATCCTTTTATGATTTTAATGATTTTTAGGTGCTGCTTTCGTGCTCGGTGCAGATGTGCTGGTAGAGAAAATAGGGATGAACTCACAGAGCCTGTACGAGACCATTTTCCAGGCAGAGACAGGTGCCATATCAGTGGAACAAGAACTGAATAATCCGGCCACTAGTTCGGATGCAACATTAGAACTAGCTGATAAAGCTCTTGCCGATGAACATGTCACACGTAATCTTCTTTTCATTTTTTATATGCAGCTAAAAATTTTGAAGCTAGTAGAAGAAGAAGAGTGTATTCCTCTAAACTTGCAAAACAAAAGCAAATCAATTATGCCTCAATATAATTCTATATAAATATACGCTTTTTACACTTTGCGAGCGTGGTGTATCATTATGACTATTTCTTCAACCTAACTTGGTTCATTTGGTGGCACTTTTGCTACAATCACGATCTGTAGCATTAGAAATCTCATAGCATCTGATAATCGTCTGTGGATGAGAGGGAAGGACGTGATACTCCAAATCTCGAGGTTGCATGTTCGAATCCGACGCATAACAAATGTTTTTACTAATTCGAGGCTTATTTCACTTTATAGAGCTTCTATTTTGCCGTTTTATCGTAAGTGTTTGCGAAGCACAGCTTCGCCTTTTAGTAAAAAATATATTCATCAATTATATCATCGAATTTATTGAATAGTTAGAGAGGATACAGGAAGGATAGCGAGAATAATCACAAGGAGCCCTGAGAGAACTGGATACGTTCTTAGTTAACTGTATTTCGATTTAGTTTCCGTAATATTATACAAAATAGCTAAATCAAGTTCTGGAAATCTGAACAAGATGCATGCCAAGGAACTCTCCCTAAAATGTTACTATCTCTGAGTCCTTTAAAAATAGAACGTTTCTTATATCATATTTTCATTCTGTATGCAGCAACAATTTTTGGGCCTTGTACCATGTACCATGGTATGTTATGCCGAAAATAATTTTATTTAAAAAATAAAACAAGTTTCAAAGGAAGTATTTTCAAAGATAAGAAAAATTTTATAATTCAGAGCAGTTAGTTTTGGCAAGACACTCGCAGTCCTTTTAGTAGCCCAATTTCATTGAATTACGAGTAAAATCAAACAATTTTTTCTCTTTCACTCAAGATCAATTGAAAGTTTTGAAAAATCTTTTGGAAATGTTTCATGAAAACGGATTCTAATAACTGTCAATGAACGAAGTGAGGACACTTATTTAGATCGCATGTTTTTTTCTCGTTTTGTTACCGGAAAGTCTTTACCCAAAGAAAGCTTGTGTTATAGTTTGAACTCCCTTTTTTTCTAACCTAAGTCGCAAATAATGTGTACATTTTAAAAGTGTTCGTTTTGATTAATATTAACACTGACTATTATATTACAAATTGCACTTAAGCTTCAAGTTATCATGGATCTGTAGCAAAGAGTTAGGGAAGGAGACCCGCAACAAAATAAGAGAGTTCGAATCTTTCGTATACTAGCTAAAATGCGTCCGCTCTATAAATTGAGGCATGTTAGTTGGTAAATTTTTTTCAAATTGACTGGTACTGATAATGCGGCATTATTGGCTTGCGTCACTTAGCAATTATTTAGACTCATTATTGGCGTGCGTCTTTGAAGAAATTTTTCTAGACTCAAAATTTTACTCATTCAGTTTTTCCCAGTTGCGTTATTGGTCATATTTTTGCTTGTGTGTGCGAAGTGCAACTTCGCCTTTTTGTATAAATTGTTCACTGTTCGACTTTTGAACACTTTAGTCTAAAAGAAAAGCAAATCACGCTCTCTGACGAATGTGAATGAATGACTTTCAGTTTCAAAGTGGATTTCAGTTTTTAGGTTTTGCTGAACAATAAAAAAGTAATCATGGGTACTGTTTATATTAAACTCGATCATAGAACGTTGAGGTTATATACATTTATTTTTTTGGTTTCCTTGAGTTAATTGGCACTTTTCAACTGTCTGTTGTCTATGTTATAGTGATTTAGGATTGATGAATCAGGTTATTATTTAATGAAAGCAAAAAAAACTTATATGAGTTTTTAAATGTTCTGATCTTTCATGTATCATCTATTAAAGAGTTTTTTTGTTTCTAGAGTCTAAACAAGGGAAAGAGTCGCCCCTTAAGAGCTCAAATGGTGCCTCTTTTGGGCCAAAACCATCCAACGTAGACGTTGAAGACAACAAGGAAGGCATCTTGACAGATGACATGAACGTATGTGATAAAACGCTTCTATGCTTCAATAAATTTTACAGACAGAAGAGCTGGCACAGAATGTTGCTGCTGGTTATTGCCATTACAGTCCACAATATTCCAGAAGGTCTAGCAGTAGGAGTTGCATTTGGGGCTGTCGGAAAAAGTGACTCTGCGACGTTCAGCAGTGCCAAGTCTCTTGCTCTCGGGATTGGAATCCAGAATTTCCCAGAATGTGACATTCGACCAGAATGGCCAAAATGCAATTTATGCAGACTTCGAATTTTTAGCAGTAGGCCTTCCGAGTTGATGATTTCGAAGGATTAACGACGTTATTCGGATGATTGGCAGAACGGTGAAGGTCAGGATATTCCCGTATTTTAAAATTTTAAATTTTCGAAGTGATGACGTAATATTTCTGAGAAACGTCAGAAGCGGCCATTTTAGAAAAAGAACTAAGAAAAACAGAACAACTTTATCTGTGATTGTGAACAGAACGAAAATCGAGATTAAAGAAAAATGACAACGAACTACAATAGCAGAGAACGTTCCAAGCTGCAACTATTGTGCTGCTACAATAGTTGCGGGGCCGTTGCCGACAACGGTGAAGGGTGAGAACCAGCCTTCCGGATTGGTGTGAAGTTGAAGTTAAGGAGCTTGATTCACTGGATTCAAGAATCCGGAAGGGTTTCGGGACTGGAACTTTTAGCCTTTTATATAAACTTTTAGCTTCTTGTCATGTCCTGAATTGAATTTAATTAACAACTGGATTCATTTTGATAAGGATGAGAAGCTAGGAGGGGGGGAAAGGGTTGATCCATCTTCGATGGAGATGATGGTTTTTATCTACTGAATAAAAACAATAGTAATATAATAAGTAGTAGCCCTGTTTTTAGGAGTGACCTCGTGGTCTGGGGATACTGAGACCCAGCCATGAGCTCACTAATTTTGCATGTAATTCAGTTAATTTGAGCGTTCTGGTCGAAGCCGGAGAACAGTAACGTTTTTGTCGACCTGATGTAAGAAAGACCACCGAAAAGTACTGGCTTGGTAGAGACGGTGAAAAACATGCAGAGCTCTGTTTAGACGCTAGCCAGTCGTCTTAAGACTTAGTTTTGTTATCCGTCGATATGTATCTTCCGGGCGAATGTTACATGTATGTTTTTATGGCGCTCCTGGGTGTTATTCTTTCATAACATCATGACCGGCGGAACCGTTAACGAGCACTCCGCGCCGAGCGGATGCTCACATTAACGCCCTTAATAGGCCTAAACAGCCGGGGCGGAAGGGTAGTTCGGAACGCGGAAGCCTTCCGGATTACCGTGAATAGTTTTTTAACCTAGTTAAGACCGAAAATTCACGAACCAGGAAGGGTGGGGGGAATCATGAACCCCTCATCCCCTGAGTGGTTTGTGACCAAAAACACTTAAAGATATAAGCAAAACCAAACAAAAAGTAGTATAGTACCCAAGAAAAACAAAAAACATAAAAAATAACCGAAAAAACCAAAAACAGTAAAAAAGTAAAAAATCAGTAGAAATCATCCCCCCAGACAAGATGTGATTCAAACCCCCCGTTTGTTGTTGATAGATATATTGTTGTTACAGGCATTTATATCAGTCAGGATCGTTACGATCAATTTTGTAGCCCGTTTGTGAGGCTTGTACTGTAGGGTTATTTGAGCATTTAAGCACGTTAATGATAAATTGCGCTCAATCCGGAAGGGTCAGCTGATTTGCGCTCAATTCGGAAGGGTCTTGGGTGAAGACCGATCCGGCAAGCAGTACAAGGAGCAACAAGAAGGGGCTCAACGACAACAGCAATCGACTGTTGGGTATCGTTAACAAGTTTTGTATCCCTTTTGGTGCAAAAAGTAAGATAGTAATCTGTGGGGCGCTCGACAGTGCTGCACTGTAGTGACCCTTCACCGAACTGCGAATATCCGAGTTAAGCACCTTAATTCGGATAATAAACAAACCCGGAGGGGTATAGTATTACTAATATTATTATTTATATAGCCTATATTAATAGTCTTATATCGTTTTTCAGTGAAAAACAACGAAAACAGACCGGTTTTTAGGGTCAAAATAGCGATATTTTGATCCCCCCACAAGTCGCGATTTTTGAGATATCGATATTTTTTGAAACGGAAAAAAGCGCTAAGTTAGTGTGTTACATCGTAACTGCACTACCGTAATAAGTAGAACCGGTTAACTTTAGTTCGGAAGTGGTTGGAACTAGTTTGGTACAAAAAACCAAATTTTCCCATTTTTTGATAGTAAGAAACACTATAAAATCAGAAAATTTTTTGAAATCTTTGAGTTAGGACAGTAAAAATAGTTGATCGGACAACTTCCACTGGTGAATCTACGAGTTTTAAAACCCGCTACCCGAAAGCCTTCCGGGTCGCAGAGAAATCGAACATAACGTGTTTGATTTGGTGGATTCATCAATCCGGAGGGGTCCAGGTAGCATAGTTTTTCGCAAATTTTTTCTACAAAAGCGTTTTAGATCGGGTCTTTTGCATTGAACTAGAAGAGTATAGGCCTTCTGAGCTCAGATCAATAATTTTTAGGTCGAAAGGACCAGATTTGCGGAAAAAGTTAGGCGGAACCTATAAGAGAGAAAATTTTTGAGTTTGGAAAAAAGACGTTTTGGTTAATAACTTTGGAACTACAGAGCATATCGAGTCAATCTTGGTACAATTAGATCAGAAATTAGCTGAAATTACTAGTAGGAAAGAGAATTACTCGAAAAAGCGAGCGAGAAAATTTTTTGAGATTGTTTTTAGCAAATTACACAAATCCGGAGGGGTACACCCTTCACGTTTTATAAATTTTTCTTAAAAACCCTTATACCTCTACCAAAAGTTGATAGCGATTGAACTAAGTAACTTAGGACAGTTCTAGACAAAAAGGGAGGGCTGAAGGCACAAGACAACCATAATAGAGTCGAAATTAGGCAAGTGATAAGACCCTTCACCGTTAGTGTGAATTGTCAAATAAGTGCCTTAACTTCAATCCGGAGGGGTCTAGGAAAGGACCCTATACCCTTCCCAGTTAATTCAAACAGCATAAAAGCAACGCAGAACGTATCCGGAGGGGTATAAGCTGAGATTAAGAAAACTACGAAAAGCTACTTTGACAGAGCTAAGGGCTCCCAATCCGGAGGGGTCGAAATTTTTCAAAGTCAGAGGGGTCCGAATCCGGAGGGGTCTACTTTCCACAAAACCGGAGGGGTCCGAATCCGGAGGGGTCTTATAGTTGCTAATTCGGAGGGGTCCAAATCCGGAGGGGTCTGCTATTAACTAACTCGGAGGGGTCCCAATCCGGAGGGGTCTATATTCTGACAGTCCGGAAGGGTCCTATTTGTGCCAATCCGGAGGGGTATTATTTTATTAAGGACTTAGGTAAACGAAAGAAAGACTAAAAGCGAGAGGTATTAGGTTATTAATACACAGGCTAGGTATCAGTGACTGCACTGGTAACTTGCCTTTCAAAAAGAACCAGACTAATACAAAACAGGTCCGAACTCGGATATTCGCGACACTAAGTCTAAATTAAAAAGAGCGTGACTCATTGGTGTGGATTGAAACATAATACGTTTTTGGGAAAAGTGACTGCCCTGAGGATTTTAGTAGGTCTAGCTCGGGCAGTCCGAAGGCAGATAGGTAACACAATACTCGGTGGGTGCAATAGACGCCCACTTGAGCAAATAACTGCCTTCAAAGTTTTGTCTGTTTTGTCTGTTGTCTGTTTAAAAGACAGGTTCGACTATTGTACTGCGACCGACTAAGAGTACAAGACATATACGTTTTTTTATATATACATTCATATTGTGTCAATATATATTTTTTGTTTTTTGATTTTAAATCAACCTAAACTGCTTGATTGGGTAGTGAGTACACTATCTTTTAAAATTGACTGATAACATCATATTGTGCTAGTTTCCAGATCTTTGGACCGATAATCGGTCAGTGTGAATAAATTTTATACAAACTGTACTCTGACAACATACAGGGATTCGTGGTCACTATTTAGTAGAATCTGGTGAAATTTATTGTGTTGTGTCATTATTATTGTTAATAAAACTATAAGGTCTCTAGCAATTGAGTCAAGAGTGGGCATAGGAAAGTGACAAATAAAGAATGAGTTTAGACAAGTCAAGGATACCAAAACGAGGTAATAGCTCTAGGAAATTCATACCTGAAAAGCAGAGAAAAACGATGACCGATCCTTTTGTGGATTGGATCAAGCGATCCCGGTCCGATAAGGAAGAGACGGTTTCAGGCAGAATGGTTGAAACGAGAAGTCAGAAGACCTCAGAAGAGCGAAGAGAACTGTTGGAAGTGGAGGTCAATACGGACCATACCATGAATGACAACCAGGAAGTAAATGAACTGGAAGGGAGAGGCAGAAGGCTGGCGAGTGAATCTACCCCGGTAGAACAAGGCCACGATTTTGCCACTTCCACCGGGACATTGGATCGAGAGGAGATGTCGGAACTGTCCGACATCTCAACTGAAGTAGCGACAACTAGAAGATCTCCGACAGACAACACTATGATGGCAAGCGGAACTGGGAAGCAAATAACGTCGTCATCGTTTTCAGAAAGAATGAAGAACACCTTAGGAAACTTCTTTCCATTCAGCATGGGAGGAGGAGCAGGAAACGATGGTGAGTCCCAGGAGGATGAGGAAGATGAAGAGGAGCAAGGGGACTTTGGATCTCAGGTCAGCCTCAACAGTTCGATCCAGGAGAACGAGGCATACGTCGGAAGAGAGACTGGAACCATGGACAAATTTGGTGTAGTGACAACGATAAGCAAAGAGGCAAACACACCAGGCCAGTCAAAAGACTTCGCGATTAGGACAAGTTCAGAGCCACAAACTGGAGAGAGTAGAACCAGAGGGCTAGGCAACGCGTTAGCGGATCCTGAAATAGATAATGAAAAGACGTCAAGACAGAGAGTCAAGGCCCGGATCTCGACCAGCACGAAGCTACCTGGGACTGACAGGGTTACACCGCCACTAGTGACGCCACTCGTGGATAACGGGGCAGCACTAGAGGAAGCCTTAAACAACATAGTGGGCAGTTTAGGAGAACAAAATGAACAGATGTCGATAAGGATGAGTGAACTAGAAAGAGCAGTTCACATTGAAAGAGAAAGTCTGCGGGAAGAAATAAACCGCAACAGACAAGAAGTTGGCAGAAGCGAAAAACGCTTGAAAGAAAGAACGGACGAACATATGACGAAGAACTTGTCGCGAATGACAAGAGAGGCGGAACAGAGGGAGTTACGCTTAAGAGCCGACATGGAGAAGTTAAGAATTCAGCAAGAGCAGTCTCTTGGGTCTCTTGACACAAAGATAGACGCGATGATGGAGAGGCGAACGCAGGCTATCATGGATAGGTTGGACGGGCTACTAAGCAGCAAGAGTGGACCAAAAGAAGGAGAGCCGAACTCGGGAGGTCCCAGCAGGGAACCGAGGGTGAACTTCAATGAGCATCAAAGGAGGAAGACATATGGATCCACTAGAGGCAGGGGCAGTTCATCAGGCTATGCCACAAGGGGTAATACAGCATGGGGCCCGAACAGTAGAGCAAATTCAACGGGGAACAGACAGACCTCTGACGAACG